CAAAGTACACAGAAAACAGAAATATACCATATGAAACTATTCAAATGACCCCTATTTGTTTACGTTAAGTGCAATTTCAGTACGATAATATTTTTACTTATTTAATTCATAATAAATCGTGTTTTCAAGATTGCTCGAACAAGGAAGATGATTCTTTAAAAGTGTTTAGTTTGTTTTAGAGTAAAATCATTTTAGGATATTTTCAGTATCTACCATAAGAAATAGAACCCCGAATTTTAGCGTTGTAAGTCCATAAACTTACCGCCGTCCCATCGAAGGACAAAATTGTGAGTACATGAACAATTTATGTAAAAGCTGATAACTAGTCTATGTTATATGGCATTTACTTCATCTTTTTAACTTTCTTAAAGAAACAAAGCTGGGAGTGGCTGAGAGGTTAGTTTCCAAGGCTTTGTGGCTCACGATTCATTGTCGCAAAAACAAACCCCGCACGTTGGGCCATGGTGCGCCATTAGAGTGACTGTCAAATCCCATTATTCGACTGAAAATTTGGCGGTGGGTTCTTTTAACTAGCTATCTTCCTTCCAGTTTGTCAGTTAAAAATTAAAGACGGCTATGCCCAGATACCACTTGTGTAGCTTTGCGCGCAGTTCTGAAGAAAACAAACAAAATATTGCTTGTTTGTAGGCACAAAGCACAAAGCTACATAATGGGCTATCTGTGCTCTGCCCACCACAGGTATCGAAACCCGGTTTGTAGCGGTTTAAGTCCGCAGACATAACGCTGTGCCTCTGGGTGTGGGCATAAACAAAAGAGGTGAATGCTATTTTATTGGTTTACTCTTGAAAACGTACTATTCAAATTTTACCTGTTATGTTTTATAAATATTTATCAAATGTGTCATCATGTGTCCATCTCAAGTGGACTTCAACTAACGTATACAGCTAAACAAGCATACGTCGAAGCTTGATACATTCCACAAAATAGTTAAAGAAAAAACGGTATTAAATTAGATTATCAGTCATGTGATTACAAATTCAAATTATTGGACATTCGGCTTATACCGCACGTAATGGTCTCATACGTTCTTGTCCCAATTGTCGCTTTAAAATAAATAAATTTTATCCCTCAAACAATTTCATGATGTATGGACCACAGTGAATGAGGTCAATGCCATCCTAAAGGGCGTCCAAATAATGTGTGGCAGCAATCCAACCATACAACATGACTATAGGACACTGATCAAGCCCCCCCCCCCCCAGTGGAATAGCGGTATATCTGCGGACCTACAACGCTAGAATCCGCTGTGTCACTGGGGGTGGGGGGTGGGGGTGGGAGGGCTGAATGATAAACCTTACAATTAGATGTAATTTCAATTCCCCGTTGAAAAGTTTTTTAACGTATAGTCGATTTATGCATTAACGATGAATTATAAAATGAAATCTAGTTTCTATCATAATCTATTTGATGATTTCTGCTTCGAGTTTTTTCTTAGCGTTTTATATAACAAAATAAAAACTTTCGTAGCCATTAGTTTACATTTATGTTTGGAGAAAATGAATCATTTCAAGCGTTTAATGATTCATGACATAACGAAAAAAATAACTAATAAAAAGAAGTAACTAATAAAAGGAAATTGAGAGGAAAATTCTACATTCAGGCGTTTTTTTTTGTTTTGTTTTTTCTGTGAACCTTACAGAGAAAGCAGTCTGATTATGTTGTATACATATATATGATTTATGTATAGAGAAAATCACTATGATTCATACATATCATTTCAAAGATATACTAGTAGATGGTAAGGCCTTTTCCCCAATTAATTTATCTTAGCGTCAAAGCATGCATGTATGAACCAGCTGGGTGGGATCCACAGAATTCTACCAGCTGTTACACTTACAAGGCCTGAAGTTTGTAAGTTTGCTAATTACAACCTCTGCCAGTAGGCCTAACACATTCCTATCTTCATGGTACGTTCTTAATTTCCTTTCGTAAAATACGCTATCAATACAGTTTTTATTGGATTTCTAGTTTAGATAACAGAGGTAAAGTATAATTTCTGCTCCTGTTTTACCAACACCAATTCATTCATGGACGGACATTCATTCACAAACAATAATGGTTAACCATAAAGGATCGTTACCTGTACAGAATATGAATTAACGTAAATTCTGTACATATTTTATAAATACGGCAGTGATGTGAGAAAACATTGTGGGTTCGATAGGCATTTTTTTTACAGTTAAAATCACGAGAGTAACAATAAAAATTAAATTATTTAGTGCGATTTTGTTCTGCCTGAATATTACTTTGATTTACGTATAAAATAGGAGAAAATATAGTAACATATCAGGTAACCTTACGAAGTATAAATAAAGTAATTGATAAAACAAATAATACATAAAATAAATTATTGCGATTTTGTTTCCAAATATATAGTTTGCGCGTAATTTGATTGTGATAGCCAATTTACAATTCTGATGGTTTATATGAAATTTATAACCAAATAAATAATTATTTATGTGTTTATCGATTTGTATTAATTGTTTGTTTGAATCTGCGTTAGCCGTCCCTTATTTAGCAGTGTAAGACTAGAGGGAAGGCAGCCAGTCATTACCACCCACCGCCAACTCTTGGGCTAATCTTTTACCAACGAATAGTGGGATTGACCGTCACTCATAACGCCCCCACGGCTGAAAGGGCGTGCATGTTTGGTGGGAGGGGGATTCGAACACGTACCTTCAGATTGCGAGTCGAGCGCTATAACCACCTGGCCACGCCGGGCCTATTATATTAATACAAACCATTTACATCATGTAATAATTATGAACATCGACTCATAAAATGTATTTATCTACGCCACCACAAACACAATTTTTATAATGGACTTATTGTGAAAAGGTTATTCCTCTTCAAATCTTAAAAAAAAAATATATATATATATAACCCTGTAGTTATAAGAGTTACAGAAAAAATATACACATAACAAATAGGATCAGACGTGGCCTAGTGAATAGCGTGCCGTACTGTGATTCCGAGGGCTCTTGGTTCTCGTCTTGTTACTGCAAAATCATATGTACCACTTGAGGGTGTTCTATAAGAGTGACGATGAAGTTCCACTACGCCCCCCCCCCCCCTGTGGCATGGCGGTATGTCTGCGGATTTACAGCGCTAGAAACCGGATTTCGATACCCGTGGTGGGCAGAGCACAGATAGTCCATTGTGTTGCTTTGTGCTTAACTTAAAACAAACACACAATCTGTGTATGTTATAACAGTTGAGTGTCGCCATGCAAGCCGTGGCATCAGAGGTGACATGTTTGTCACTTATGTACTTAATTGATGATAAATTCCAACCACTCTGGCGGCACAATGTGACCAAGGTAAATTTTGGCTGCGGGAATATGTGACTATCCCTTCTGAAGCTAAATAACTGTTCATTGAGATTGCTCAATGATGTAGAACCAAAAGATTCCTTTATTTTAGCCTTACATGGAATCAGAGTTATATTGTGAAAGTGAAAATTGTGATATGTATATTTTGACCATTTTTTCTTTTTGTTGGAAAAGCAGTAGATAACAGCAGGTCGACATTCTGGTTAAAATTTAGTCCGTTTTGATGTATCTCTGATGTATCATTTTGCACGTCAACATTCTGATAGTGTTATTTCATGGCAAAGTACCTTCAAAATGCACATGGTATTATCTTTAAACATTTTTCTATGTGAGAATTAGATGCCTACAAATTAACATTAGTGTAGCATTTGAACTCGTTTTTTTTCTCTCCATAAAAGTGCATAGAGAAATCTATGAACATGTAATCGCCAGTATTTCCCTTTTCAAGACTTTGGATATTAAACTTTAAGATATCTATATTAATTTTAAATGCTTCATTCAGTACTTATCCATTCGCTTATCTACTTTCCCAACCCCTTTTCTATTAAAGGTAGAATCTTCGTTTTCTTTAAATATGGCACGTGGTTCAGAAACGCCACATCAGAATGCAAAGTAAGTCTAATGTAAGTTAAGCCTAATTTATGCTAACTAATGCGATGCCACGTTAAGTGTTTTATCTTATGGGAATCTTTCCTAATTCTTGTAGCAAGAATGTAATCTAATCGTTTAAGCTGCTTTTGATAACATGTAGCGCTTAATATTCAACTCAGCCGTGTAAAAATGCAATACAATTGAAACAGCTTTCCTGTTATCTAGATATTAAACGTAAGTTAACTTTTATTCAGTGGATAAAAGGTAAAATTAGTCCATTTTTTAGTTGGGGAAGCTACTTAGCGTTAATAAAATTACAAAATAATTAAAAGATGTTAATTTAAAAAGGGGATTAGGGATCGTCAAAAGAAAGTTCAGAAACTATTAAATCAAAAATGCAAATATTATATTTTCAAGCCTACAACTAGGGACTCTAAAAAAAAAGTAAACAAACTAGGCTGGAAATAGTGTCTACATTATTTTCTCAAGCTGAAAGTCCCTATTTTGACTACATGCCTACAGTACTTATCAATCTTTGTGGAGTCAAGATAGGTATTTGTAGCTTGAGAAAATAATGTAAACACTATTTCCAGCCTAGTTTGTTTACCTATTTTGACTCCATAAAAATTGATAAGTAGGCTTGTGAAACAACAATAATAATAATATAAAAAACAAATGGGTAAATTTTGTCTAGCAATCGGAAAATCAACTTTTTTTGCTATTATCAATATTTAGCAGCCGTAGCCATTGAGATGGAAGGTTTTGAGTGTTGTTTCAAGAATAAGTCTGCTTTTTATGATGGGTTTTGCCCTAGGTTCTATTAGAAATTTTTTTGAAATTCCAAGACGAACCCTATTATGAACCACTATCGTGGTTCATGATACATGCTCATTATTCTCTGTACTTATATATTGTCTAATCTTACAAAACAGATATATATTTTCTGTTTTTCTCAGGTTTATGTTTTGATAATCTATAATCTTATTGTAGTGTAATATTAAGTTTGAATTATCGTATATTTTTGATCAATAATGTGTTTCCATTTATGCTTTTAAAGATATAGACAACTGCAATACGATGCCAGACTCTGTGGACAACACTGAAAAACAGGCGACATCTGGCGTTAGCGTACAGGTGATGAACGAGAAACTGCACTCTGCACAAGGTAAAAGAAAACGTTCGCTATCAAACGCCGAATAAAAAGAACACTGGAGTGTTTAAACTCACAAAATACTCTTTAAAAGTTTAAATTAGTAGAACCACAATATCAGTAGAACAAAAACGTGTTACTGTACTTATTAAAGTACTCATTCTCAGTATGGTACAGAATCGAGATAACAATTTTCATTAAGTATACTAATTTTCCTGTAATGGTAATGCGAGTATTCTACTCAAAAGTATGGAAGGAAATTGTTGTTAAAACCAGAATCAGGCGTTTTCCTCTTTACGCATATTCATGTTTGGTTGTTTCTATAATAAAAAACCTTTATATCTTGTTTCTGCAAATAAACAAACACAGATTTGGATCTGTATGAACCAAACCTTTTTATTTTATTTGGTGGTCCAACAGACTATTTGTTTGTTTGAAGTTAAGCACAAAGCTACACAATGGGCTATCTTTGCTCTGCCCACCACGGGTATCGAAACCCGGTTTCTAGCGTTGTAAGTCCGCAGACAATACCGCTGTGCCACTGGGGGGGGGGCAACAGACTAAGTTTTAAGAAGTTCAAAGATATTTATACTGAGATTTTGCTTGGTTTATTTGCCTTTTATAGTCGTATTTTATTTCATCGATATTTGAAGATCAATAAAGAATTAGTGAGTTTTGTCATGGCAACGTTAAGCAATCATATTTCAAACGCAGAGAAGAATAAGTGGTATTTATCCTCATTTCAAAATGTACTTCTTCTAATGATCTAGAACAGAATGACAGAGAACGTAGGCAAGCCTCTTTTCTTCTGTTAATATAAATAGAATAAGTGACAAAAATACTCGGTTAAATAGTTTGCGCATTCTCTAATGGAATCATGAGAATAATGACGTACTCTGTATATAACACATAAAAATGGTGAACAACAAAAGTAATATCAATAATATAATATTAACAATATAATAAATAAGGTAAATGGTAAAATATATAGAATAGTAAACAGAGAACAAGATAACTCAAATGTATAAAGCAGAAGATTATGGGAAAATTGAGGGGGAAATAGGGAGGATAACATGGAAGAAAATTCAACTTACAAACAGTGAAGTCATCCATACATAAAGGGCCCGGCATGGCCAGGTGGTTAGGGCACTCGACTCGCAATCTGT